AGCCCGGATGTTTGTTCGTCTGTTTATGCCTTGTGATTGGCTGGCAAGCAGTTCAGGGTGTCCCTCGCCTACCGCCCGAAGACGGCTGGGACAGGCTCCAGCAACCCCCCCCCCCCGCGACCCTCGTGAGGATAAAGCGGAAGCACCGGAGCTCTTCTTTTCTTTATTTTTGCCTCTACAAACACAGAGCTGATGAGACTGGCGAAAAAAACAAAGGCGAGCGACAATTATCCCGACGTGCGTTTTGGAATATATCCACTTGTTTCGAAACAGAAAAGACGAGCAGATGTCAGCGGCGCCGAGCAATAATGTCGCTCAATCAGCGCTCTCATTATCTAGCCGGCATGACTTCTTAATAAGGTCACGCTCCACCTCCTGAAAATAGTTCCCTCCTTTTGAGCGTTCTTCAGGTGCAAAGTGCAGTTAATTAAGGCGGCAGACTGGGAGAGACGCGCTCGCTATTAATTGGAAAGAAAAAAGCAAAGCCGGGGAAAATAAAGCGCGCGCTTAATTCAATTAAAAGAGCCATAATGGCTTTTCACTGCGAGGCCCGAGGATCCCATTGTGTGGCGGCTTTGTTGAATTCGACAGGTCCTAATTTTTGCGGCAGGCCTCGCCGCGGCCTCCTTTTGACAAACCGCGACGGTTGCGACCGGTCGACCCAAAGTGACGGACGGCGCAGTTCCTTGAGAGAACTTACTTGGATTTCCAGCTGCTGTACAACCTGCATCTGCACCCGACACTGGGCTGTGCTCCGATCATCCAGGGCGTGCTCGTTGTTTAGGTGCCTGCGGGTGAACACATTCACCGATTCAGCACCACATCCGGGATATCACCTTCAATGCGATTTTGTTGAAATTTCTATCGTAAGGCGGGGACTATATACGGGATCCCGTTAGGGCGCCATTGTTCCGCACTGAAACGAGGTAATTAGAAGCAACACGCCGGCGCGCGGTGCCGTTTGGACATGACAATGGGCCCGCACCGGTCGAGATGGCTAACTTCAGCCTGAGGGAAAAAGGAGCTGGCTCAGCGCCTCGCCTTTTGTCTCCTCGTTTACGCAAAACAATGCGCACCATTTAACAGCGGCAACATTTGGACACACAAAAGCATCTCCTCCAAGTGTCATTAAAGCGATCTGCTGCGTTCGCTTCATTAGAAGAAAGAGACCGCCAAGGCGGCTGGCTACGACGGTCAATGAGGGTTTTTGTGTCTCTATCGGATTTCGTCTGTCGAACACAAAAGCGTCATCAAGACGGACTCTTAATGTGCACAAATATGGAGGAGGAAAAAAAATAAACTCCAGCTATGAAGAGTCCGTGCAGCCCCCCCCAAAAAAAGTATTTCTGGGCAACATCTGCAACCAATCCGTCGTGTTCAGAACTGTTTCATTAGCAACCAAAAATAAGGAAGCATTTGGGAGATGAGGGAGCAAGGGGTGGGAAGAAGCGGCGTGTTTTTGCAGCCCGGCACCTAATTGCTGTTTCAGGATGTGCATGCAGAAGAGCGGGCGTTTCATTAATCATTTAATCACGTCCCTCGCAGGATGAGGGAACTAATGTTGCAAATACCCTTTTCATTCCACTGCCCATAATGCTATCTTATGCACTTGATGTATGGCGCGTGTCATGAATTACAGCTGCTTCAAAAGCGCGGCGCCCACTGCTCGCCGTCCCCAAAGATACCTCATTACAAAAAAAAAAAAAAGAAAAGGGGTGCGGGCGGGGGTGGAAGGGATCAGCCTACCGAGGGTTTGTAATTTTTTTTTTTTTTTTTTCTAAATTCAGTCCGTACGCATGTTTGCCAATGATTCAAAACGCACCTTCTGCTACTGGCCAGTTAGCGAGGCGATTACAGGGAAGATTACTACAGTTATGAAATATTCAAATGGCAGCATGTCCGACTGTGCATTAATAATTCCACAAGACGGAGAGAATAATGAAAAGGAGGGGTGAGGGCTACGCAGGCGGGCAGACAGAAGCAATCATTAAAAAGAACACACCTTATTTACTGAGCTGGGGCCTCACATTTGGAACGGCAGTGGACTCCACCGCGAGTAGCAAAAATCCCCATCTCGCTCGCGCCCATCACAACGCATTGGAACTTTACATCCACGTGTATGAGTTGATCAGATTCGAATCGACATGGCGGTGCATGACAATGTCATTTTTCAACTCGTTCACCGCCGCTGACGGCAACAGACGTTATTTATCGGGTGGAAATAAGTGCCCGTGGGCTCGGCCTGTGAACACAATACGAATCAGAAAACCGTGTATAGACCAGTGAGGGCGCATGGAACAGAATTTCCTGCAGGTCTCTCATCTCCAACACATCTCACAGCAACACACACACACACACACACACACACACACACACACACACAGATGTGCATCCAGTATGAATATGTATGTGGGCCATCAGCGTCCACTCAAGGGCCCGCTAATAAATCCACATTACGACGCCGCTCGGCTAATTGTTGTGCGTTGTATTGTCACGAGCTGCGAGTTTCACAGCCGCCCTCCACACGAGCGACGGCGCCGCGCCCGGGTGCGAGCAAAACACGCGTGCGGCATATGTACACACGCATGTGCACAAACGGCACGCAGACACTCTCCCCGTGGTGGTGATGCATAAGTAATGCCCTCCCGTTTTAAAGGTCTTGTCACAGTGCGGCAGACATGTGGAAGGGTAGAGGGGAAACTCAACTATCAAGGGGCTGCCGGGGAAGTGGGGAGTGGGGGGGGCGGCCTCACCGCCTACACTATGTATATATGCGCGTGCGTTATAGAGAGACACTTGGCTGCAGCCTTGTGGGTTTAATTAGCAGCGGGTCACAGACGTCAGGTTAGCGGGCCGAGCTTGCCATTTCGACGTCGGTGCCAGTAATAAGGCCGGCGGAGTGGATGACTTAAGTGCAAAACTGGCACGCGGCGAACACGTCAAGCCCAACCCAAACTGGAAGATATGATCTTTCTTTATTCGGCGCGCTCGCCGCCACCTTTTCCAGGTGAGAGCACTTCAAAGAACATAGAATGCGCTTTTAACCGCTGACGGCGACAAGTTTCCCCGGCGCAACACAACAAAAGATGACTAAACGCGTCGCGGGCGCCGAGCGGAACGCCAACAGCGAGCGATTACGCCCCCCCCCCCACACTCCCCTCGAGCTCCTCCTCCTCCTCCTCCTCCTCACACGCGTAACCCACACCCATCTCGCGACACGGAAACTGTCATCCAAATCTGACACCCGCTTTATGTAACCCCGTTTAAACGCTACGCGCGTGTCGTCGACTGGCATCTCCGGCAACATGAAAGGCCTCCGTGTGACACCGACAATCACCGCTCGGAGGCACGCCACCGAGCAGCCATCTTTGTTTCGGTGACGAGCCCGCCGCGCCTCCTTTGTTGGCGTCTGTTTTCATGTGCCGACTGGGTTCGGGTAGAAGAGCCAGCCTCCGACTCGCTGGGGTGTGTGCGAGTCGGGCGGAGAAGCGAAGCGAGACGCTGTTCTGTTATGTTGCAAGGCGATGTTGTGGAAAGCATCGGGACAAAAAAAAAAAAAAAAAAAAGCCAAACCTTTCAACTTGGTGGCTCACTTTCCCTCCGCAACACCTTCTCGCATCACTTTGTCAGCTTATTCCAGTGTCTGACCTGTTGTTTTTTTTTCTTTTTTCCCCACACAGGGTCTCCTAACTAACCCACTAAGCTACCTCCACTATATCCTCAGAGCATACAAACCATCTTTAAGTCAGCATACCGAGGCGATGCAAAGATATGGGGGATGTGGGGGGGTGATAATCCGACACAAACTTGCCTCCTCATGCGTGCGTTCGTCCCCAAGCTGGAAGGCAAACTCGTCTACCTGCACTGGACCACATAAACGGGCTCAAGTGACACATGATGCCTATGGATGTGAGGACATTGGATATTGCCTGCTATGAGATTTTTTGTTTTTTAGAGTTAGTTTTACGTCATTTTGACTTTTTTTCAAATACAGTTTTAATTCGAAAAATGTTTCATCGCTCTTAGTTTTCATTTTCTGGGTCGAGGGCAACATAATAAAAAGGTCAACGAGTATCGTGGAATGACGTCAACGACTTTTCGATCTTCGGTTGTTGCAGTGGACGAAAATGGATCAAAGTCAACAAAAATTGGAAAAACCTTTTCATGAATGAAATATGAAAATGCTTTTTTTTTTGATGATATGAACAAAGACCAAAACAAATAAACATTAAGATGCAATTTCAGTTCGTTTTTTTTTCTTTAATTGGTTGACAATTTATCACCTCGGTTGTACGGAGAGTCGGCCGGGGAAAAGCAAACCCACTTGTCAGGCTGCGGCTGTCGTTTACGTTCACCTCTGATTCATTCCCGTGTCAATTAAGGTTCACAAAAAAAGAGTTGATAGTGCGTGAAAATGCGGCTTAATATACTGTCTGGCTGTTTCGCCCAATAAACACGGGAGTTTATGACGGTTATTTCAGAAGAGCCTGATGAGTTTTTGGGCTTACAACCGCAGAAAAAAAAAAAAAATAAATGAAACAAACCCAAACCAATCTCCGGCTCC